GCACGAGTTGTTCCACAGCTCTCTCATGTGCTTCTCATTTTTTAAAATTCGCTTTTCTCTGTTATATTTTATGTAGTTTCTTTCTTTTTCTTTTTCTCTTATTCATGTTTAGGTAGTTGCTATTGCTATGTCACAACATTAATTTTTTCCTACAATGTCTACTCTGTTATTACTAGTGTATTTTTCACCTCTGGTATCGTAATTTTCATTTCTAGAAGTCTGATATGCCTTTTGTGTACCTCCCTGTCTCTGCCTCGCTTTTTAAACGCATGGGAGACCGTTGGAATGGCTGCTTTAGTGTTCTCACGCTGATGTTTGTGCCGGTTCTGGCTGGTTTCAGTTGGTGGGTTATTACCCGCAGTCTGGGTTAGGGTGCTGCTTCCTCACCTCGGATTGCTGGCCTGGCACTGCGGGTTAACCGTGTGGGACCAGGTGCTTTGTAACCTGTGGTTCGCTGGGCAGGCTCCGAGCTGTGCTCGGTCTCCGGGTTAATGAGTTATTCGCCAGCACAAGCCAAGGCCCTCGGAGGACTGGCCCGTGTCCTTGACATTTCCATCTGCTGGCGGAAGGCCTGGCCTTGTGTGAACCGGCACGCTGGTCCTCAGGTGGCTCTGCCCGGCTCGGGGGCCTCCTCACACACAGGTGCTGATCGTTCTCTGCTGAGCACTCCAGGGGGCCTCTCTGCAGATCTTGGGGTTCTCTCCGGGCAGCTCGCTCTTCTCCGCGTTCTGCTCTGCCACCTGCAGCTGCTGTTCCCCAGGCTCAGCTCCGGGGGTCCTCGGTCCTTCCGCCCCCGCTCTGCCTGCAGGCTGGGCACCTCAGCAGGAGGCTGGCCTCCAAAGAGGACCACCATGGCCGCTCTCCCTTCTCTCTGGGCTTTCCTTGACTGGCGCCCAGTGTTTTGAAAACTGTTACTCCTGTATTTTGTTGGTTTGGTGGCGGTGGCGGTGGAGGTGGTTTCACGCGGGAGGGTCAGCTTGGTGCGAGGCAGGAGTCTCCACGTGTTGCTGTCTCTCCGGGCCTCGTGGTGCACAGCCAGTCGGGGCCACTGCACTGACCTCTGCTCTGCCTGCCATGTGTTCCTCACACAGCCTGGCTATTCCTCCGGTGTTTTCCTGGGACTCCCCTCCCGTTAGGTGAACATTGAATGGAATGACCCTTCATCTCTTAGCTTTTCTTTCATATTCCCCGTGTCTTTGTCATTTTGCTCTACATCTTGAAAAACGTTTAAACTCTTTCCTCCCCTACTTTAACTTTCTTCTTCTTCTTTTTTTAATATATATTTTATTGATATTTTACAGAGAGGAAGGGAGAGAAATAGAGAGTTAGAAACATCGATCAGCGGCCTCCTGCACACACACACACACACACACACACACACACTGGGATGTGCCCGCAACCGAGGTACATGCCCTTGGCTGGAATAGAACCTGGGACCCTTCAGTCTGCAGGCCGACGCTCTATCCACTGAGCCACACCGGTTTCAGCTTTCCTTTGACCTTCTAATTGGGGGTTGTACTTGTAATTTCCGGGACCTTTTTTTTTTTTTCTCCTCCGGCTGCGTGTGTCCCTAGAAGCCTCCATGTGTGCGGGGCACGATCTGCCCTCTGCTTCCTCCGGGCTGGCTGCTGTCTCTCCTTCTGACTCCTTTGGTGTCACTGGTTCCTGGCCTCTCCCTGGAGCGGGCTTACGCCGTGGGCAGGTGTGTTAATTCATCAAAACACGTCACTTAGATCAGAGGTTCCTGTCCCCGCCCCCGGGCGACATGGGTGAGTCTGGAGATGTCTGTGGTGGTCACAGCTAGGGGGCGCTGCTGGCCCCATGTGGGCAGAGGCCAGAGGTGACGCTCAGTGTCCCACAGGGCGCAGCGAGGCTGCCCGAGGGCAGTCACTGTGGCCCACACAGCCACGGCGAGAGGCGGGAAGCCGGACGTAAGGCTTCTGGGGGCAGGTGGCAGCCTCGACCCATCGAAGGCCAAGATGATGGGCACGTGTTCCAGGCTGTGCCCATGGCCCGGAGCCACGTGTGGTCCATGGACCTGCGTCACGTGGCTTTTATGGGTCAGTACTTACAATATTTACAAACATTCTGGTTGATTTTACCCTGAGTCCCAGGCTTCTAGCTTCTGGTGCAGAGTCAGAAGGAAGGACTGAGTGGTGGCACCGAGCAGCAGCTGGTCTCTTCTCCCCTCCGTCCCCTGGCCCACAGCACTCGCCGCGGCTCTGGCTGGGCCTCTTCATACGTGTGAATTCATGACCCCTGCACTTTTTTTGGGGGGGGGGGGGTGCTGACTTTGCCCTGGGGACCCACACTGACTCCCCAGGGATGGCCATGCACTGGGGAGACCACCTTTTGTTGCTCATCTTGTTTCCTCTCCCGCGGGCACTCTTTGGAATGACAGGAGGACCGGGCGGGAGGACCGTGTGAGAGTGACGAAGCCTCGGCGTCACGAGGCCGCCGGGAAGAGTGTGGGAGGAGGGCAATGCCGCCGGGGCTGCCCCCGAGGCAGGCGGCCCGCAGAGGAGTGTGCGGAGTCCCCGCGGCGAGGGGAGAGCATTGTCAGTGGAATCCGTGTCTCGTGCTGCTGGCAGGAGCGATCGGAGGCCCTGGGCGAGAGCACGCAGCTCTGCGTGTGTGAACGCGGTTTCCGTGGACCGCGGAGGTGCCCGGTGCCGCAGCGGGGGCGGGGGGCGGGGCGGGGCGTGGACTGCTGGACAGGCAGCTCTTTCCACAAGTTTGTCTGTGAGCGAGGTGAGAGGGCTCGTTAATGTGGTGGAGGATGGAGAATTAGTTGTGGTGTTTTGTTCACTAATCCTCACCCGAGGATATTTTTTCCATTGATTTTTAGAGAGCGTGGAAAAGACAGAGGGAGGGGAGGGGAGATGGGAGAAAGGGAGAGGAGAGAGAGATGTGAGAGAGACACATCGACTGGCTGCCTCCCAAACACGCTGGGAATGGAACCTGCAACCCAGGTACATGCTCTTGACCAGGAATCGAACCCGTGACCTTTCAGTCTGAGGGTGAACACCCTAACCACTGAGAAGAACAGGCCAGGACTATTTTGTTCTATTTAATCTTCACCAGAGGATATGTTTCCATTGAGAAAGCCAGAGTGGGGGAAAGGGGAGACAGAGAGAGAGAAAGAGAGAGAGAGAGACAGAGAGAGAGAGAGAGAGAGAGAGAGGCATTGATGTGAGAAACACATCACTTGGTTGCCTCTGCATGCGCCCTGACCCAGGACCCAGCCCGCATCCCGGGCGTGTGCACTGACTGGGAGCCAGACCTGCAGCCTCTTGGGGTTCGGACGATGCTCAGCCAAGGGGAGGGAGCTGCCGTTTTAAGCGGAGATTCAGACTTGTTTGTGGAGGAAACAGTCTGGTTTCGCTGTGATATTGTGAACCTTATAACGGATGAACACATTCCCACCACGAAACTTCTAGAAATGCCGCACAAAATCAAACAAACAGCCTTTAAAGCGCGCAGCTGGGTTTCAGGAAGGAAGGGGAGCCCCCAGGGGCCACCCAGGAGGAAGTGGGAGGCCGGAGCTGTGTGACGAAGGGGTTGGGGACAGACCTTGCCCGGCGCTGAGAAGAGCAGCAAGAAAACATCTTCCCGCAGCCCTGGGGCAGACAGCCTGTCTGCCTCTCCCTGGGTCCTGGGCTGTGGGAAGTCTCCTCTGAGAATCCATAACCAGAGGTTCCCCTCACGTGAATTTGGGGCTCATGTTTACTCCATCGTCTCAGAAGCTCAGATAAAATTAATGAAGAATGTGGTCCAGCAATGGTAATAGCCCTGGGGCGTCCCAGGCAGGAGCAAACACGGAATCTCGGCAGACACCCCTCAGACTGACCGCATGGATTCCCGCTGAAGCCGAGGTCCCGGCCCCCGCCCCCCCGAAAGCCCCAGAGGAAACCACCGTCATGAAAGGAGCCCCGAGAACTCCGGCAACAGGACCTTACAGCAAGGACGCTGCAGACGCCTGAAGGCACAGGGAGGGACGGAACATGGGAAGTCACCAAGGTGTTGAGAAGGAGAGGGGAGGTCTAACATGTAAAACTGTGCGTGTCTGAGTCCGCCCGCTCACTCCTTCCCTGACCTTGGGCTCCTGTTGGATTCCAGGACAGGTCCTGGGTCGGGAACATAAAGGCGGCTTTGGGGACAGCTCTGCCTCAGGAGGATCACATGCCCCCACCGTCATCCATCTTTCCTTCCACACCAGCCTGAGGCGCCGTCGCCAGAGAAGTCCCAGCAGAGCACCTTGCTCCTCTCGCTGTGCAGAGGAAGGACGTGAGGCCCAGTGACATAAAAACCACCTCCCAAGTCTCCAAGCCAGCTGAGAGCCGGGGCCTTGTCTCCGGGCCCCTTCCAGGCTGGGGAGCTCTGCACGCGGCACCTCTGCTGATTCCTGGGGGACTGCTCCCTCCTCGGGGCAGAGTCCCCACAACCAGGCCCGTCCCTGACCTGACAAGGTGACATAATCACCCAGCCTGAGAGACAGACGGGCCAGGAACCCTGCCTTGGATCCGCTATGTGCCCCTTCTTGTTCTGTCCCCTCCACCTCCACCTGCCCCTGGAGGTGGGAGGTCCTGAGTGCAGGCACCAGGTCTGACCGCCCCCCCCACCCTCCGGCAGGCTCAGGGGAAGTGCCAGGACCCTGTGGGGGATGAGGGTCCTTGGTGATTGGTCCCTCCACCAGGGGGCTTCTCACTCCTCTACTGCTCCTTCGACTTCCGGCCCCCCAGGATGAGAGGGCAGGTCCAGGCCAAGAGGCCCGGCCCTCGGAGCAGGAAGCGAGGAGGCCCCTGCCCGCGTTGAGTAGCCAGGCTGGTCCCTGCCTCCTGTGCGGCTCCTCTGAGCACTTGGAGGGAGTCTCAGGGTGGCAGCTAGACCGCCTAACCCTTGCTGACATCATCCCTCTTTTTTAAAAAAAACAACAACAAAGGAAGATGAGCTCCTGGGGTCAGGCCTCCAGCAGGGAACAATGTCTACTTAGGACGCAATGTCTTTGTTTACGTGTATTTATTTGACCTTCTATTTATGGCAAATGATACTGGTTTTCCATTTACAGAGGTGATACAAGAAACATTCCTTTTAAAATAAGCTTATTAAGCAAACAGTAAACCGATTCAAAGAAAACATGAGTAAACAGCGGTACAGTGGCAAGCTGATACGGCAAGCACCCTAACAGCATGGCTGCAGCTCAGAGTGACGACTCCCTGGCCTCTCCCGGAGCTGGCTCCGCTCCCAGAGGTCAGCTGACGCAGGTGCTCCGGGGCCAAGGACGCCGGGGGCTCCATTCCTCCGGGAGGAGCTGGGGCTTATAAGTAAGCCTGCCCTGTCTCCCCGGAACATTCCAGCAGGCTTGGGGGGGGGGTGGAGGGGGAGATGGGGGGGGGGGGCGGGAGACAAGAGGCTGCCTTTGGGAGCTCCCTGCCCTGGGAGGGTTTTCCATGTCAGTTCAGCCTCAGATGGCCTTGGCCCAGGCCTCCCTTACGATGGAGGGTGAGACTCGCAGGCTGGTGCCAGCCTGCAGAGACGGGCAGAGGAGCCCGCCGGCTTTCTCTGACTCAGAGAGGGCCTCTCCAGCTTGGCGTCCCTAGTTTGCTCTGAGCTGGGGTCAAAGTCTCAGTTCACTTTCCGTGAGATGCTCCGGTGCCCGGTCCTGACCTCTGTGCTTTCCTGGAGGGATGATCCCTGCATCTCCGGCTAGCTCAGCTGGCAGCTGTTCTTCGGCGTCCACTGGACTCTGCCTCCGACACGGCGCTCAGACAGTGCGGGAGGGGGAAGCCGCCGGGCGGTGCTCCTTCATGCCCGTCGTGTGCCTTGAATTCCTAATCAGGAAGGTGATCTTGGCGGCTCTGGCCCAGAGTCCACCCCACCTGCACTCTGCACTGAGCGCCCCCTCCAGGCAGCCAAGCAGAAGCACCCTGAGCTCCTGGCAGCACAGGCTGTCCACACCCAGCTGCCAGAGCAGACCCAGCTGAACGGAAACCCAGCCGCCTGGCCTTCCCCGGCCCCGATGTCTCTGGGTCCCCGGCTGGAGCCTCTGAGGCGGGGCCTTGCCCGGAGGTCTCTGCGAGGCCAGCCCTCCAGGGTCGGGGGATTCAGAAACCCACGCTGGTGCGGCTCTCCCGCCTCCAGAAGGCCGAGATCTCCTCCAGGGTGACCCGCGGCTGCAGGCCCCACTCAGGATCAGGGCTGCCCGGCCGCAGTCTGCGGGCCGGGGGGCTCCCCACACTCATGCTGGGCTCCGGCCTCTGCTCCGGCCTCTGCTCAGGCCTCTGTTCAGGCTCGGCCCAGCTCACCAGGCCTGGGGCGTGGGGCCGCCCTTCCCAGGCCTGGGGCCCCCAGAAAGTGCTTGGGGTTGGGGCCTTGGGTGGCATCTGGGGAGCAAAGAAGGTGGGAGGGGCGTGTGGGGGTGGAGGGGCAGGCGGGGCCGTCGCCCGGGCCTCCAAGGTGCCCCCGCGGACGGGGCCGGGGCCGGGGGCGGGCGGGTCGGGGGCTTGGTCCAGCAGCAGGGGCACCTCGGAGCCGTACCAGTCCTCGGAGCGCTCCCGGGGGGTGCCGGCGGGCTCGATCCACAGCTCTCCGCCCGGGCGCCAGACCAGGGTGGGCGGGTGGCGGCCGGGGTCGGGGCGCAGGGAGCGGCGGAACAGGCGCTCGGCCAGCACGGCCGTGGTGAGCAGGAAGAGGGCGGCCAGCGCGGCCAGCGCCAGCATGATGGGGATGCAGGGCCCGCAGGGCAGCGGGGGCCACGCGGCCGGCTCGGACGCAGGGTGCCCTTCCATGTGCCCAGGCGGCTGCTCCGGGGTCCACGGCATCTGGAGAGACAGGTCAGGAGGGCAGCACAGGCCAGAGGCGGAGAGAGGCAGCCAGTGCCCAGCGGAGACGGAGGAGAGAGGCGGGCAGGGCTGGAATCGGGCCCCAGAAACAGGCCCGGACGGGAAGGAGCAGAGGGACCCCAGGAAGGGCCAGAGGAGGCAAAATGGGGGGAAGCACCACTGGGGCCCTCAGCCTGCTCGGAACCCCCATTTCCCCTCCAGACAGCGCTCTGAGGGCCCCAGGGGTGTCGTCCCTGTCTCCTCAGCCCTCGGTCTCGCTGGGCCCACGGAGAGGAAGAGGTGGGTGCTGGTCCCAGGGGCTCCCACCTGGGGCCTCTGTGCTCACCTCAGTCTTCGGTCCTGGGCGCCCCTCTCCCCTCAGAGCTCTTCCCTGGCCTCCTTGCCTGCGGGAGGGCGCAGAGCGGCCTCAGAGGAGGGCGGAAGGGAGGGCACCACCTGTTGCTGGGCAACTGTGCCCCAACTCCCCTGTCCTGAGGCCTGTTTCCAAGGCAACCGAGGGGATGTGGTCACTGCGGTTGGTGGGGAGGCGGTTTCTGGCGGGCGGGGTGGGGCCAGACTGGGCAGCGGCTCTGCTGAACTCAGTGTCACCCCACAGGCCCCAGAACACTCACCCAGAGGCCACTTCCCGCCCCTCCGCCCAGCACCGTGGCCCCCTCCCCTGCTCTCCGGAGGCTGCCCGGCCTGGCCTGCCTCCGGCCCCCACACCCTCGGAACACGCCTTTCACGTCTCCTTGTTCTCAGATCGTGTGCCCCAGTTTTGGTTAGAAACTATCTGGGAGGTGAGGCCTGGTAGCAACAATGTCAAGCCTCTGGGGAGAGTCCAGGGTAAAAAGCAGGCTCAGGGCAGGTCTCGGAGACCCCGGATGTTGGCCGTCCTGGCCCCTCCCTCCGAGGCTGAGGGTGGGAGGAGCTGGGTGGGGACGGGTGGTGTCAGCTCCTGCTGTCCTTTCAGGCTGTGTAGTTTGACTCACTCACTGACAGGTGACAAGTGAGCCCCAAATACGAAAGGTGTTGTGCCCAGTCACACAGCCACGCACACAGGAGGGATGGGGGGAGCAGGGATATAAATGCCTCGTCTAGCAAGCTCCGGGAACATAGCACAACCCTTACCGGGTATTAATATTTTGTTTTGCAAAATGACAACCGTTTAGTGTGAAAAGCTACAAAAATAGGTTGAAATGCTAGTGTCTTACAAAAGGTGGTCACGGGGCAGCCTGACTCAGGTCGCTCTGCCCGGGTGGTTTGCAGGAAAGGGACAGAGGATGGAGAAGTGCAGCGGGGGGTGGAGTCAGTGGAAATGAACAGCTCGTGGTTCTGGGCCTTATGAGGTCTGCAGGAGCCTGATGAGACTGGAATTGGATGAGATTATAAGCCTTAAAGTCTGAGCTTTAAAAAAAAAATTTATATATATATATATATAAAATTGATTTCAGAGAGGAAGTGAGAGAGAGAGAGAAACATCAATGATGAGAGAGAATCATGATTGGCTGGCTCCTGCCTGCCCCCTCCTGGGGATCAAGCCCGCACCCAGGCATGTGCCTTGACTGGGAAACCAACTGTGACCTCCTAGTTCGTAGGTCGACACTCAACCACTGAGCCACACCAGTTGGGTGGTGTTTTATTCTTAACAGTCTTTTATCACTTTTTGAAAGTATATTCTTATCTATGTTCATAGCAGCACAATCTACAATAGCTAGGATTTGGAAACAGCCTAGGTGCCCGTCAGCAGATGATTGGATCAAAAAACTATAGTACATCTACACAATGGAATACTATGCTGCCATAAAAAAGAAGGAATTCTCATCATTTGCAGTAACCTGGATGGAATTAGAGAACATCATGCTGAGTGAAATAAGCCAGTCAATGAAAGAGAAACACCACATGACCTCACTCATTTACGGATAATAAAGAACATTATAAACTGATGAACCAAAAGATAGATATAAAGACAGTAAAACAACAAGCAGACTGTCAAATTCCAGTGGGGAGGGGAGGGAGATCTGGGGGAGATAAGAGATCAACCGAAGGACTTGTATACATGCATATAAGTACAATCAATGGACACAAAACTCTGGGGAGGAGGGTATGTATGGGAGGGGAGGACAATGGTAAGATATGTACACAGATAATAATTTAATAAAAAAATAAAAATAAAAATAAATAAATAAAATAAAAATATATTCTTATTGATTTCAGAGAGGAAGGGAGAGAGAGAGATAGAAATATCAATGATGAGAGAGAATCATTGATCAGCTGCCTCCTGTACACCCCACACTGGGGATTGAGCCTGCAACCTGGACATGGGCCCTGACAGGAATTGAACCTGGGACCCTTCAGTCTGCAGACCAACACTCTATTCACTGAGCCAAACCAGCTAGGGCTCTTTTATCAGTTTTTTTAAAAGCTTAAATTTTTTTTCCATTGATTCCTCAAACAATTAAATAGAATTACCACATGATCCTGCAATTATGCTCTATATATTTTATGCATATACAAAAAAAAACAAACCAACTGAAAGCAGACTCAAACAGATATTTGCACACCAATGTTTATAGCAGTGCTGTTCACAATAAGCCACAAAGTAGAAACAAATGTTCATCAGCAGATGAATGGGTAGACAACATCACACACACACACACACACACACACACACACAGGAATATTATTCACCCCAAAAAGAAAGAAAATTCTGACACATTCTAAATATGCATGTATTTTTTTAATCCTCACCTGAGCATATTTTATTTTTAGGAGAGAGGAAGGGACCAAACCACAAACTAGGTGTGTGCCCCGAGCGGGAATGGAACCTGCCCCTTCGTGCACACAGACCTGCTTCAACCAGCCGAGCGGCTGGCGAGGGCACAGTCCACTATGGTCGACCCTCCAGCAGAGGGGTGGCTATGGCTGCATAAGGCCCCTGGAATCACTTGGTCCGGCCCTGCCAAGGCGTCTGCAAGCAGGACTCAAAATTCAATAAACCTAGGAGCTTTTTCATAGCAACAAAATTTATAGCAAGTGCATTATAATAAGCGAATGATGTTATAAATTTCCAAATGGCCCTTGGCTGGGAAAAGGTTCCCCACCCTGCTCTAGGACATGATGCTAAGTGAATAAGCCAGTCACAAGGGAAAAACACTGAATGATTCTACTCACAGGTTCCTAGAGCCTGCAACAAAGCATGTCAGACTCATAGAGACGGAAAGTAGAATGGTGGGTGCGAGGGTGGGGGTGGGGAGAGAGGAAGGAGAGTTACTTTACTTAATGGGGATAGAGTTTCAGTTTGAAAAGATTAAAAAGTTCTGGAAATGAAGAGAAACACCACATGACCTCACTCATTTACGGATAATAAAGAACATTACAAACTGATGAACCAAAAGATAGATATAGAGACAGTAAAGCAACAAGCAGACTGTCAAATTCCAGTGGGGAGGGGAGGGAGATCTGGGGGAGATAAGAGATCAACCGAAGGACTTGTATACATGCATATACCTCAATAAGTACAACCAATGGACACAAAACTCTGGAGAGGGAGGGTATGTATAGAAGGGAGGGAGGGAGAGGGGCAAAAAAAAAAATCAATAAAACATATTTTAAAAAATAATAATACCAAAAAAATAATAATAATAAAATAAAAAGTTCTGAAAATGATGGTGGTGATGGTTGCACAACAATGTAAATATGCTTAATGCCACTGAACTGTACTTTTACAAATCATTAAAATGGTTTTATGTTATGTATATTTTACCACAGTAAGAAATTTAATAATATAGAAAATGGAAACGTAGGCAAGGAACATTATTTCCCATAATCTCCGCACTCCCAAATAAACCTGCATCCTGTTTTAGGGGCTCTGTGGGGTGGGGACCAGACCCAGATGTCCTCACTTCCAGGTTTCTCCCACTGTCTCCCCCTCCACTCTGAATTTCTGAGAAGGGGAATCTGGAAGTTACTCAGGAGCGTGTGCAATGGAGAAGTCTCTGGGTGGGGAGAGGAACACAGGTCTCTGAGGGCGCTCTGGACTGTGGGTGGGCTCCGGGGCCCGGGGTTCAGGGTGGGCTGGGCTGCGCTTGGAGCCAGCAGGAAAACTTGGTCTCCGCAGACAGGCGGCTGGCTGGGTGCTGCTGTGCAGAGGGCTCTTCCCTCCTGAGTCTGTGTGCTGGTGGTAGGCTGAGTGCTGTTACCGGCTTCCAGAGAATAACCTGAGGCCTGGCTGTGAAAGACGCGGGTTTATTAGGACTTACGTGTGCACAGGGGGCGGCTGACAGGTGAAGTTCACCAAGCCGACCGCTGCCCCCAGGGAAGCTGAACTGCTAAGTCCCATCCGGCCTCTGGCCAGGCCGCACAGGGGGCGGCACTATTTCGCCACCACGCAGACGTTGCCAACACGAGGTTTTACAGAGCACAGGAAACAGAAGCAGCACGCAGGAGGGGCGGTGCTGCGTGAGAGCAAAGCGCTGTTTCTTGCCTGAGGAGCTGGCCAGGCTCCCGCGGGCTCGCAGTCGCTTACTGTGACCTTCATCCTCTGCCGTGGGGCGGGAAGAGGGGAGCTGGAGCACAGGAGGGCCCGTGCGCTCATTGGCCACACAGGTGCTATGAAAACAGTCTGCAAAGCTCTCAGCACTGCCGTCCTGAGGCTGGGCCTGGCCTCCGCCTCTGGGAGAGGCTGGGCTCAGCTGCCTGCAGCGGGCACAGCAGAGTGACTGCATGCTCCCGAGGCTGGACTTACAGCGGAGAGCGCTCCCGCCACTCAGTGCACGCCGTGGTGTCCAGTCGCATGTGTGAGAAAGCCCATGGGTAGGTGCCCTGGCTAAGGCCCCAGCGAGGGTCCCGGCGGACAGCCACTACCCCACCCCTCAATGAGCAGCTCTCCCGGCGCTCCAGCCCAGCCCAGCCCAGCCTTCCAGCCTCGTCAGCTGATGCCAAGGAGCGCAGAGGCGAGCTGCCTCTGAGTCCGGCCCAAACATGTGTTTATGACTAAAATAAATTGCTGTTTTAGGTCAAGTTTCGGAGTGGTTTGTAACACAGAAATAGATAACTTGGAACATTCTATGCCAGTGGTTCTTTATCGACGCCCCTTTCTATTCCGCCGTTTTAGGGTCTGAATTGGGGGGCGGGGGGCAGAGGAATACAGTAGCAACAAGAGCGTTAAGTTGGTTAAGAAATACCTCAGGTGATTCAGACATGCTCTCCCCCCAGCTGAGATCCACCAGCCCTGCTCTGTCCAGTACAGTGTGGCTCTCCAAAGTAATCAGAATGAAATAAGTAAAATGCCCCGTCTCAGTAGTTACACTGCAGGTTCTCAGTGGACACGTGCAGCTGGTGGCGCTGCACTGGGCAGCACAGCTGTGGGCGGGCCACCGCCACAGGGCGCTCTGCTGGGAGGCGCAGGCTCAGGTCCTCGCTGCCTGCACGGCCAGCATCCCGGAGCACGTGGAAAGCAGACCGGCCGAGTCAGCAGCTGCAGCGCATCAGGATACCGGGTGGTCTGGAGGCACATGCACGCCAGAAAAGCTTGGCTCTCGCCCGGAATTCTCGGCCTCGCTGTTCATTAGAAGCACCGGAGCTTTTTACAAAGCTTCAGTCGTTGAGGGGCAGTGGGCGCCAGTCCTCGCTAAGGTTTCCAGGGGATT